AGACTAACCGGCACAATCTTTTCCGATCTCGGCGTAAGAACAATCTTCTTAATGCTGTACACATTCCCTGGTAACGCACCTTCCATAAAAAGTTCCTCCTGTCCACATTTCAAAACACCTCGCTCGTCGATCTCACAACAATTATTCATCATAAAGTCTAGGCCCAAGATGCAGTCGTCCATTATATCAGCCACGATTACACTATGCAGGTAGATCATGTTGCCTAGCTTCAACTTCATCTCTTTCTCTCCACGGACGGGTATACGCGGACCGGTGGCTGTTAACAAAGTAATGCGTTCTCGGTTGTATGCGGAATCCCCAAGGAACTGACTTATAAGTTGGGAACTAACAACCGTACGAGCGGCTCCAGTATCTATGGTCAGTTTACACGGCATTCCGTTGACCTCGCCTTTGATGATCAGACTGTTCCCATCATGGGTTTGTGATATCGAGATACTTGGGGCTCTTTTAACATCAGCCAGCACCCGCCCCGCAGTTCTGGCTTTTACTCGTTTCCCTGCTGCTGCTGAGCGGTGCTGTTGGCCGCACTACCCTCCCGAGATCGATCAACTTCCCTTTCTACAGTTCGCTTAGGAAAGCTGGATCGAAGATGGCCCCTTTCCCCACAGGCATAGCACCTAGGGTTGTATCCTTTGTTGCGGTCGCGAACTGTAGCCGCTGCAACCTCCCTGACGCGATGGAAACGATGATCCTGCCGCACGGCTTCCACCTCCAGTGCATGGGCCAAGGCGTCCTTAAGCGTCTCGTGGTGCCCGAGCCTCACAGTAGCTCTGACTTCCAGGTCGCGAATGCAGTCGATGAATGTCTGCACCAGGTTCTCTTCAATGAGCGCGGGTACAGACCGGTATGCTTTTCGCACCAGCTTTTCCACTTCTAGAGCCCACTGATGCAGGTTTTCGTTGATGCGCTGCACGCAATCTTTAAGCTACGCACGGAATACGTATTCCAGGTGGGCGTCACCATATCTCGCCTCCAATGCCTCAAGGAGTTACTCATAAGTCACTTCCTCACCGAGAGCTTCCAGAACTGTTAAGGCCTGGTCGCGCAGGCCTAGTGTGAGAGCAGTCATGGACTGACTTTTATTCCAACCGTTCGCCTTCATAACAGCCTCGAACGGGATTTTGTAGGCTGACCAGGAAGAAGTCCCGTCGAACGGTGGCACCTTGAACCCACGTAGCGAAGGTGTAGTGGCTACTACCGGAGCTGTAGTTCCATCCCCAAGTTTGAGTTCGTCCAGTGATTTCTTCATGTCAGCCATTACGTTGTCAACCCGATTGTTCACTTGGTCGATTCGGGTTTCAGCTTCCGACAAGCGGTTGTCATGTTGAGTAACCTTATCCTTCACCTCCCTTATCTCTTTCCAGAAGGTAACGTGAAGGTCCTTCATGAGAAGCATCTGTTCCTCCTGTCGGCGGGCCTGTTCTTCCTGTCCGCCCCGCAGCTGCTCTTCCAACCGACGGACCTGTTCCTCCTGTCGGCGAGCCTGATCCTCCTGTTGCTCTTTCAACAGACGGGCCTCTTCCTCTCATCCGCGCTGCAGCTGCTCCTGTAGCATCGCCATCAGAGCACCTAAGTCAGGTGCTGCAGATGTAGGAGCTACTGACGGGCCCGCAGCCTCCGTGGCTGGCAGTTGGTCCTCCGAACACAACGCATTTAATTCCCCTCCCCCCCCTGAACAGTCTAGCCAAATTCAATACTTCCCCGCTCGCATCTTGCAGCGCCTTTAAATACACATTATTACCGAAACATCCAGAATATTCAAGTTAATACGCGCGCCAATCAACTAGGCGCCGAAAGTTCGAGTGTCGAGCTTCTAGAAGCTAAGTTCTTCATTTCGATACTAGATGGCGCTGTCGGTTAAACGATTTGTGATGTCATTTTCTGAAAAGCTCCCCTCGCTCTCGTCCCCGACACTAGATGGCGCTAGTGCCGGGTACATGACGTCAACTTAGGCACGCAGCATTATATTTAGATACTACTTTTCTATGAAAAGTTTAGCATTATAAAATCTACACAAAATTTTCTATCTTGTGATCTAAACAAAAGTCAGGTCTTACTTCATTACAAAAAGATTTTATTGTATTTAATAACAAAAAAAAAACATACCAAGCGAATGTCGGCAGTGTGAAAATCACAATTATTTCAATATATATATCGAAATTATTTACGCAAAAATATAAATTATATTCACACAAAAATTTTCATTACAATTTTATAACAAAACATTATCTTAAAATATTAACAAAACACTAGAAATTATCCAAAAATCAACACAACAACATTCACTCGAAAATGGCATACGAAATGAACGTAGATTATAAATAATTATAAATAAATATTCACAGGATAACAGTTTTTTATTGCACTAGAGGTTAGAGTATTTCATATTGATTATATATTGCCAAACTTTTTCACAGAAAAGTAATCTCTATATATAAGTTTTTATGGGTTTAAGTGCTGTGGGTGGGTGCGACCTTATGAGATCGCTAGGGATTTGACGGAATATGACTGCGGTCTCATGATACCGCTAGCGGGTTAAGAGGTTAACTTAATTCATATCCACCGGATCGAATTCAGTCATGGAGCTGTCTGCACAGGTGCACTCCCTGACTCCCTCACTCTAATAGTCTGATCTGACAGTAATCTGACGTACGTATACGTACGTACGCCAGACTACTTATACGTGTACGTAATTTCGAGAATAAAGGTGAAACGCTGCTTACCAAAGAATTCAGTGAAATTTCCTGCCTCGTAAATCTTGCAGCCGTAATAACAGTATTTAAAACTAAGTAGTGTTTCTACCGTATATGTCGCGTCCCTGAGTTGTTGTAAGAGTCGACGAAAGAAATAAACCAAGGAATAGGCAGCAGCACTTTTTCTATAACAACTACAATACTAACTAGATACATAAAAAACTAAAAAAACCTGACTGCCAAGCGTGGCAACTATATCAAACATCCCTCTTATCAGGCAATATATTATGGGGAGGCCTATGTTGTGCAACAGAATTTTGAGGGCTGTAATGATTTAATCAAAAGTGTCGTTGAGGCGTTCTGCAATATTATTACATAGATAAGGGAATAACAGTGGAAATAAAATGTAAATAGTATTTTTCCTTTTCATTTTTTCGAGGGAATTATGTCTTTTCAATGTTTCTTACAAAATTATTTTTCACACCATTATATACGGTAATCTACATATAATATTTTAATATTAATAAAACAAACTTATTCGGTACCGCACAGGGCTAGCTTTAACAGGAGTATATCGAGAAAACAGATACGTAGCGTTTAAAAATGGAGATAATTGCAACAACTTATTTGTTATACCTACGCTTGCTAGAATTCTCACGGGATTTATGGTAGGCAATTTGTTACAGTGTACAACACAAGCAAAAAGTGATCTCTGCTTCGTGTGTTTCTTGCTTAATGTTTCCTCTTTTTGCATTATCTTCTTTACATTTTAAAAGCTCCTATTTTACTTAAGTTATTTTTTAATATAAATAAAATCTTATGATCAATTTTAAAATGAAAAACGTGTTAATATTACGACATATTTTTATTTAGAAAATTGAATAAATACAAATGATAAAGAGATGTAATATTATAGCTACATAACTAACTATTAAATACTACCACTAAATTTCTATTGGAATTAACGATTTTTAAAGGAATATTGATAGAAAATTATTATATTAATTGGGTGCTCGGAAGAATATATATTTTTTCAAGGTACATCATATCTAGGTAAACAAGAATATTAAACCATTGTTAAAATTAAAAAAATCATCCAAAACGTTAGAGCTCTTTCCCAGAATTTATTTAAATATTATGGATTCGAAAGGAAAAATTCGAAAAGAAATTCTAAAAGGACAATTCCTAAAATAAAAATAAAAAATACTAGCAATACATTAACCTTCCAGCGGTCACATCCTTGCGCCGAACACAAGCAGTCGCGCGAGGTCTGTGATCCCCCAATTTTAAGTGTCTTGTTTCGGAAAACAAATGAATATTTCGACTTATTGTATAGCACATGATTAAAAAGAGGTGTTATGTAAAATAAAATAAAAACATATTTATTAACACGTTATTTTTTATTTTTAATTAATAGAACAAAGGTCTAAAACTCAGAATTTTTTCCCTGGGTGAAAATCACCGTTATAATTCAACAAAAGCAAATGTAATTTCCTTTTTTAATACTAATAACTTAGACACTTGACTATAATTATCTTATAAATAAATTACATTGAACCTCAATGGCACTATGTAATAGTAAATTTAAAATTACATTTATTTTTAGATCATTCTATATAAAATTCTAGTTATAATCTAAATTATAATAAAATGAAATAAAATAAAATAGAGAAAACATACCTAAAAGCTACCAATTATTATTTTAGAAAAACTGTAATAAATTATTCGTTATTATTATCCATAATATCTACATGAGATGAACATTTTCAGCATATAACAGTCACATGTTCTAGACACATGATGTGTTTTCCATATTTGAAACAACTATACTTTACTCACACCGCACAGTAAGAGTAATCCAATCGATCCCCTTATTTATGTTAGTGTCACTTCTCGAGCATCTCTTTTTCGTGAATAGTTGGGCTGTATATATATATATATATATAGTGTTATTCACAATCATTGTCAACAACTCATCACTGATGAAGTAGGAATAACATTCCGTAGGTGATCTTGAAGAAAGAAGAGGTGGCAAAACTTTAAGGAATTGTTGTCTAATTACGTTGAAAAATCTAGTTCTCATTGAAACTGGGGGATTTGCACTCCAAGGAGTCCCGTCTTTTCCAGCATACGTACTTCCTTGTTGCTAAAAATTGACGATATAATGACAAAGGAACGTTATCGTCATCGCTGTCACTAAGCTCAGCAACCAATTAAACACACACATCCTGTGCTGCCGAAATTTCAACTGGGTTGTCTTCTTGGTCCGAAACGTCATCAAAAACCTCATATTCTGATTCCAACACCTCTAGCATGCGAGAAACTCGACATTATGTCTTCGCAATTCTTTGTCTACAACAAAAATATATTTTTTAAAACTATACATTTATAATATTATAATAAATAACATAAAAAGTAATAATAAGGTACACAAAACATTAAATATTTACCCCCGTTTCACTTTAATTACACTGGATTGTTCTGGAAAATAATCGGTCGCGCGCGGAATCTGAGACCGCAAACACAAATTAGAAAGCACATTTGCATGCGACGAATGACACGGAGCCACTGAGGGGTACTACCTCACCTTCCCGAGGATATCACCGAAGACCAAGAGTCTATTGTTTATAGTTTTAGTAAATTGTCTAAAATAAGTTCGTTGCGGATTTAGAGACCGCGCGCGACCGTTGGAAGGTTAAACATACCTGCGACCTTTGAATTCACTGTCAGCAGAGTAGGATTACGTCAAAACAATGTAGGATTTTACAACCTTCAGTAATTAAACCACCCTTAGTCGGCTGACGGTGGGTCGACGCTGCTTTTTTGCGTAGGTTCTGGAGACGTGCAGATCAATTCACTAATATCTAACTGATATCCGATAGGCCTGCACCCTCATTAGCATTTTCCATATTGTTCAACCTTTCTTCTTATCTGTTGTTCATTGAACACCGTAATTGCGCTCTTATCTGTTACCCGTTATATACCCTGCTTTATCAGTGCTATTGTATTATCCTTCTTTGTTCGCTAAATACCACGCTATTCTGAATCACCAATAAAAATATTCCTTAATTTTGTAACAATTTTTTATTTCCAAAATTTTATTGCTTATTATCTATAAAATAGGAGCTAAACATATCATCCACTAAAATATCGATGTACAATGTATTCCCTGTAAATATGCTCGTAAAAAATATGTATTTAACATCCCTGAAAATCATATAGCACATACTTTAAGCAATTTTTACCACAAACTAAAGTTCACTCATTCGGAACTCTATCAACATTCCAGTCCCATCTTTTGCAATTCGTTTTTAATGATCTCGTGCAGGTGATCGTCAATATGAATTTAAATATGGACATACCATTTGTATCGATACATAAAACTATCCAATGTGAACCTGGTTTATTATCTGTATCCAAATTGCATATTACATACGTTGGTACCAGCGTTTACAAGGGCAGTCTATTAGCAGCATGAACATTATTTTCTAGACTGGGATGAATCTTTTTCAGATTTTGTGGTACATCTAGTGTATCCATGACATTACTGCTATTAGTTTTTTACATTACCAATCTATTCAATTGTTAACATAGGAATGACTAATTTTTTTTGATGTGAATTTGATTTGAAAATTGAATTGAAAATCGATTTGAATTTTGTGATGATTTGTAGAAGTCATCGGTGTATCGTAAGTCACAACATGAAAAATGCGATATAAGCTTGTTTACTCATAAAGTTACTATCAGTTTCACTGCAGAAGTGCTTTAGATTAGATATACCTTACTGGTAATATATAACAGCGGGCAGCTGCAGTCATTGAGTCATCGTATGGTCGTTTGACCGCAGTGGATCTACCAATAATACACTTAATCACACATAAACACATACACGCGCGCGCGCGCGCGCGTGTGTGTGTGTGTGTGTGTGTGTGTGCATGTGAGCGCTTAAGAAAGCAACGTTGAAGTAACACAAACGTAGTATTGGTAGATCAAACTTATCTCGCATTCTTTCTTGTTGCGACTTACGCTACACCGATGACTCCTACAAATCATCACAAAAGAATGCGATTTAATATTTACAAATAACTATAATTGATCATTCTTATGTTAACAATTGAATAGATTGGTAATGTAAAAAACTAATTGCAGTAATATCATGAATACACTAGATCTTCAACAACATCTAAAAAAGATTCATCCCAGTCTAGAAAATAATGTTTATGCTGCTAATAGACTGCCCATGTATACCCACATACCAACGTATATAATATCCAAGGTTCACGAGTAGCAGCGTTATACCGGTAGGTGAAGTGTTGGGCGGCTAACTGGTAGATGGAGTGACGACCAGGAAAGACATACAGGAAGTCGATGGATGCAGGTGGCTCAGGACTTTGCTTTGTGATATTCTTTGGGGGAGGCCTATGTTCAGCAGTTGACTTGTAGAGAGCTGTAATAATAATGATGTTTTTATTTATTTTTGTATCAGTATTGTTTCCAACTCAAAGAAATTACCTTCTCAAATTTTGTGAATGTTTTTATTCTTGTTATCAAAATAAAAATAACTTGTTTTCAGTTTGATAATATATTATAGTTAATCCGATCTGTATCTGTGATTTCATACAAACAGACCGCTATTATCTACGCATTATACTTTTCTTCCCAAATTGAACTAATTTGTGTAGCCTAATATAATAATTAGTGTAAAAAAATAATTAATTTGTAGTGAAATCGTCCTAAATAAATAATACATATAGGTTTATGACTAAAGAGCAGCTTATGATATACAAATAAAGTAAACGTAGTTTTAACTTACAATTTAGGCTGATATTTACAAAATAGTGCTGGGGATGGTAATATTATAATTATTTTTGATTGATAAGAAACATTTTAATATTAGAACTAAGTTATATAATAGTACACTATTTTAACGTAATTATGTAACTTAACGTTAGCACATGTCGTTAAGGCAGCTGAGTAGCGCTTTTTCTTCAGAACTTTTCTCACGTCAAATTGTTTGTAGCGTGCAAACGCACAAACAAAGAAACTAAAAGATTGTTAAAGATTTTGAAATTATGTATAGAATATATTGACCGGAGCATGATCTAGAATTCATTTCTTTAATCATACTCATCACATATCATTTCGTATACTAGTACGTAAGTAGCACTTATTTGATGAATAACTAATACTAAGAAACGCCGATACGATAAAAACTACTTTATTATTTCCGGGTTTTCATAAGGGTTACTATATGTCATCATCACTCATCATCATTACAGCCTTTAACAAGTCCAGTGCTGAACATAGGCCTCCCCCAAATAATGCAACAAAGCACTGTCCTAAGCCACATCATGCATCCGTCGACTTCCTGCATGTTTTACCAGGTCGTCACTCCATTTAGTGGGGGGAGGGTTGCCCTACACTACGCCTACCAGTACGAGGCTACCACTCGACAATCTTTTTTCCCCATCGGTTATTGTTTCTTCGAGCTATATGTCCGACCCATTGCCACTTCAGCTCACTAATCAGTTGGGCTACGTCGGTTACTCTGGTTCGACTGCCGATATCCTCATTTCTGAGTTTATAACGCAGAGAAACTCCGGGTATTTCCCTATCCCTTTCCCTAGCCCTTTCCATAGCTCGCTGAGCGACCTTGAGCGTCCTCATACGGCCAGAAGTGAAAGACCACATCTCAGATCCATAAGTAATCACTGGTAACACGCACTGTTTGTACAATCTAGTTTTCAGACTTTGAGGCTTAGGTTTTGTCCATGTTCATCTTAAGACCGTTGGTAGATTCTATTGAGGTCGTTGAGCATAGTGCTTAGGTCCTCCAGCGATTCTGTCATAAGGGCTATATCGTCAGAAAATCGAAGGTGAGTGATGTACTTTTTTTTTATCATTTCCGCCGGAGGGTACACCCCCACCGACGGGAGTATATTGTCAGATTCCACAGATAAGTTTCGCTTTGTTTTAAACATTTTTTTTAATATAACTATTACACGTACGGAGCTGGTTGCGCGTTTCTGCGATTTGATACATAACGCGCTTTCCTTCTCCTCATATTACTTCAATTCTCAACAATTTTTTTTTTACATATTATATATAGGTGTCGTTCGGAGAAAATAATCGTTTGATTGACATTGACGTTTTGTTATTTATAGACTCGCGCATGCCGCGCACCCCGTTAGACTAAAAACGGGATGACAATAAAATGAAAATAATGAAATGATATTTAAAATAAAAACTAAAAACAAAAAAATTGTCTTAACTTTGAACTAGAGCTGTTATATAATGTCTCTAGTGTAATGAATTAGTACATAGACGACAAACTGGTTAAATAATCTTATAATATAAAACAAAAGTGGAATAGTGTAGTCTTATCACTAAATACGGACAGAGTACAGAGTAGCATAAAGAGAGTAAACTTAAAGGAAATAAATACACAGAATAATGTTAAATCTAAACACAAAAATGACGGAATAATTTAGTGACAATGAAATTGACAAAGTAAAATATATAAAGTATTCTTATGTCTAAACATATACAAATTGTTATTAAGACAGTTAAATTCGAATAAAATAAAATTTAAATGGAATAAACACACAGGATAATCTTAATACTAAACACAATAATAACATTGATATAACAAAATAACATAATAACAATGTTATTAAAAATAAAATGTAAAATAAATCAAGTGTAATCTTAATTCTAGGCACAAAATAACATGGTATAATAACACAGTCAAGTAGAAAATTTAAAGAAGACTATGAGAAGTCATTGTTCCATGAGCAACAAAATAAAACAAAATGGTATTCTTACATTACTATGGACAAAATGATATAAAATAAAACTAGAGGTAATCTTATTCCTAAACATAGCCAAATGCTTTGTTTTAACGATGAGGTAAAATATTAAGACTATGAGGGGTAATCTTAGTCCAAAAAAAAATTAAAATGACATATGTAATACAATAACTATAAATGATTTTTATTTAAAGATTAGTTTAAAGAAAAAGTACTTAATAACTAGTTGTTTCTATTTACATATGTACAGCTTTTATTAAAGTTTTTGAGGTTTTTAATGATGCTATTAACAAATTGCATGAAGGAATCCAGAAGGGATTCCTTCTTCATTAAGTTAATCAGGTTAAACGGAGAGGTTCTTAAGTTTTCACACCTCATCACATGACTAAGTCTTTGTACTGAAAATGCAGGTCAATGCTCTATAAATGCTCCAGCGTCTATGGGGTGTAATTGTTGCATGGGCAATAATTATTATCGGTTATTATAAAACGGCATAAATAATGTTTGTAGAAACCGTGGTCGGTGAGCACCTGGGTGAGGTAAAAACTTGGTTTGGTGAGGGTGCGTAGCCTCTCGATATCCTCCAGTGTCGGAAGCAGTCGTTTGGTATGTTGGCCCTGTTCTGCGCTATAATACCTAGCTTGCCAGGCTGCACGGTTTTGAGTTCTGATGATTTGTTTAAGGTACGAAATGGGATAGGCCGAGTAATCAGGCCGTCTGTGTAACTTTGAGCCGGCATTCGCAGCAATGTCTGCTGCCTCATTACCAGCTATGCCTGAGTGACCCTTGACCCATCCCAACTCTATGATGCCTATTTTACTGTGTTCATGAATAATTTGGTGTATTTGTGTGATAATGGGGTGTGTATTGCTTCTGTTCTGTATGGCATGTATGGATGAGAGTGAGTCACTAAATGATTGTGTGCGCATATTTGTGTTCTCTGATCCACCTGCATGCCTGTAAAATGGCAAACAGCTCGGCTTGGAACACTGTTCATGTGTAATGCAGTTTAAATTTTTTGGTGTAGGCTATTTCATCAAGATTTGTTGGAAGATATCCAACAAATGCGGCCTCCTGTTTCTTACTCTCTCCATACTCCTGTTTCTTTCCATCCGTAAATAAACAATGTGTGGTCTGTCCATGTAGAGGTTGAATTGATAGATAATTTGTATAAGTTCTGTTCGTTAGGGAGATACGTTGGGCGGAATGAAGTAGCTCGGAGACGGGGGTGGGTTTTTCTAACTTGGTGGGTATGTGGTCAGAGATACCCCGGAGCCGAGCCCTTTCCACAGCGCAGACTTCTCGGACTTTCAGGTCCAGAGGTACGTATTGGGCTAAAGCTAGTGCCGCGGCTGTGGAGACCGTACGGAATCCCCTAATAGCCTTGATGGCAAACCCGCGCTGCATGCTCTCGAATGCCCTCCTGATGCACCTTTTCTGGGCGACGTGGCCCCAAATTCCCGCAGCGTAGGTGATCGTTGGCACGATGACCTGCTGGTAGATGGTGCTGATGTTTTCAGGATGGGCTCCCCAAGTGGGTCTCGAGTACATGCAGAGCGTGTTGAAGATCCGCACGGGCCTGTTAACTACGTGTTTCACATGTTTACCGAAATTCAATTTCTCATCGAGGATTACTCCTAAATGTTTCACCTCTGGAACAAAACAAAGTCGGTGTCCGTCGATGTTAATGCTGGCTGTCTTAGCCTTAGGAGTGAAGGCAATGAGCTTAGTCTTGGTAGGGCCGAATGCCAACTTGACGCTTCTTCCCCACTCGACTATGTGATGAAGAGCCAAGTTGGCAGCGTTTTCCAGTTTGCCCGCACTCGCGGCCGTAGCAACCAGCAGGACGTCGTCCGCAAAGGCCTGTATGTGGCAACCCGCTGGAAGCTTGGTGTCGAGTAATTCGTCTAATATTATGTTCCAGAGAACAGGGCCGCACGTAGAGCCTTGGATGCAGCCCTTAGACATCGTCTTGGTGACCCGCCTCCCTGCATAGTCGAGAATGACCTCCCGATCGCGGACATAATCCTGAATGAGTCCAAAGATGTTATTAGGACATTGGATATGCCGCAATCGGTGGAAAAGTGCCGGCCACCAAGCGTTGTCAAAGGCTGCTTTTATATCTAAAGATATAGCGATACTTAGTTGCTTATTACTTTTCGCTTGTCTTATTATATCCAGCGCAGTGTTTATAGCTTCGCACGTGTTGGTCTGTTCCCGGAAACCGAACTGAAATTTGATGAACAGATTATTTCGTTGTGCATGGTATGTGACTCTTCTAATAAACAGTTTTTCCAGCAGCTTGCCGAACACAGGTATCAGGCCAATAGGACGAAATGACTCTAATGCGCTGTAGTCAGATTTACCCGGCTTCGGGATAATTTTGACAAAAGCGGTTTTCCACTGGTTAGGGAAGTGTTGGAGTGCAAGACAGCGGTTAATTATGTCAGTCAAGAGTCTAGGATAGTCTGCCGCAAACTGTAAACATATGTCTGATGTTAAGGTGAGTGATGTACTTGCCATTGATGTTAATACCGTATCCTTTCCAATCCAGTAGCTTGAAAACGTCTTTCTATGCAGCGGTGAAGAGTTTCGGGGATATAACGTTACACCTCTCTGTAGTTGGATAGGTTTTGAACTCTTTATAGTGAGTTTTGGAGGAATGCATGGCTCTAGAAATATCCTCATACATTTCCACCACCTCCTCAAAGGGATAACCATCCGACGTTGGTGCGTAAACCTGTATGACCTTCAGCGAATAACGTTTTATGATTCTGAGTATATAGTACGCAACCCTCGCCGATACATTCCCAATCTTTACAACGTTGTTAGCGAGAGACTTGTCAACGATAAATCCTCCTTGGGACAGATGGTCACACTCTAGGTGATAAACCAAGTTGCTGGATTCGAGAATCACCGCATCCTCCCCCCTCTCTTCGGACCTCGGATAATCCTATAATATTCCAGCCCAACTTTTCTATCTCTTCTTCCAGCTCCAGTATATTCTCGGCAGTCCTCAGGGTGCGTGCGTTATATGTTGCCAGGTCGAGTCGTCTTAGGTAGCAACCGAACCTCCACCGGTGGTTCTTAGCACCCTCTGCCGCGCCGTTACCATGGTCGCTACCGTAGCTGGGAATAGCGGGGCTGCCGGGGACTGGGGGCTATGTCTTCGTCATTCTCATCATTAAGAGTTTATTACCACAGTTGCCACGCTTGGCGAGCGGGTTGGCAACCGCAGTTTTTTGTTGTACAGTTGCTGTTATCAGGAAGAATCTGCTGCCCATCTCCTGTCTGTTTCCCTCCGTCGCCTTTTACGACACCCAGGGGAATATATGGGGTATTGGATATTCTTAACAAATTATATGTGTATAGTTTCATTTAAGGAATGAAATTTGCAAATGAGATGTAAGTAAAGTTAATTTATTATAATGAATTCTTATATTTAAACGAACAATGCACATTGAGTAAAATATTGATTTGGATTTTATGATATTTTGGATTTAATTCACTTATTACTTATTTTTTTGATACCCGCCATAACGGGTGCTTTACAGCAACCATGGTCACGGGGGGGGGGGGGGCGGACTGAGATGTTTGACGTCCCAATGTCGTGACTGGTCCGGCTACCTTCAGTTTTTGAATATTAATTTTTGGTCCGATTACGCAGAACGAGTACAAATTTCTTGAAGTCTTGCAGTGGTATGCTTTAATTAACGAAATTAAATCTAAGCCCAAGTACCTGAAATGTCGGGAATTAAAAATAAATTAGTTAAATGCGGTAAAATCCGTGTAGATTGTTGTAGTTGTAGTTGTATTCAATAAATTTAAAAATGTTATATTTTATTTTCTATATTTCTATAGCTAGAAAATTTTTGTCTATGCCCCAATGTATTTGTTTATTTAGTATATAATAATAAAGAAGCCTTAAATTTAAAAGTATGTGAGCACTGATGCATGATGCAGAGGTAAGTACATTAAAGGCACTAAAAGCACGAATTATGTTTATATTCTTTCAAATACTTGTACGTGCAGCAAATGAACAACTATGCAACGCCAACCAATTACTTAAATTAATCTCATAAATTTAGAGGCCCGTCCTCGGAATGTAATATTAAAAGCGATTCTTTCTTCGAATTTACTTTTTTTACCCAACTAAAAATAGTAAATCTAAAATTAAAATAGTAATCTAAAAATAGGAAAATCTCAATTCGACTTTACATGCTTTACAACCTTTTTTTTTTTGAAAGTAACATGTTACATCAGACCATTGTCAATTCTGAACCGAGTTAAATGATTTTCTTTCAATATGTTATACCGCAAAGAGAGTCCCATAAAAAATTAATGAAATAATTTCAAGCCCAAATGTGTGAAATAGGGGATGAAGTTTGTATGTAAGTATTTAGACAACATTCACTGCTGGCGGTATAAGGAAGTTTAAGGTCGCTCAGCGAGCAGTGAAGAGGGCTATACTCGGGATTTATCTGTGGATAAACTAAGAAATGAGGATATCCGCAGTAGAACCAGAGTGACCGACATAGTCCAACGGATTAGTAAGCTGAAGTGGCAATAGGCCGACCATATAGCTCGAAGAACCGACAACAGTTGGGAAAAAAAGGTTCTCGAGTGGCAGCCTCGTACCGGTAGACGAAGTGTAGGCGACCCCCCACTAGATGGGGTGACGACTTGGTAAGACATGCAGGAAGTCGATGGATGCAGGTGGCTCAGGACCGTGCTTTGTGGCATTCCTTGGTGAAGGCCTATGTTCAGCAGACAGGCACAACATTCTAGTTGATGCCTTGAACTTATGATATTCCTTATTCCACTCAAAGGGGTCAACAATATTATTTATAACATTCATTAACATAATCATTGATAAAAATTAAAAGCCAACTTTAAATAATATCAAAAGAATAAAATAATTTACCAGTAACCGCATAATTAATCCAAAGCACCGAAAACCCTTTTTGATAACGCATTTCTATTTTTATTCTTTATCAATTTATAAAGATTTCAATGGGCAACAGCATCCCTTTAATATTAGTAGGTTTGTGTGCATGTGTCATTTGTCACTTTTATTCTATAAAAACAGCCATAACTTCTCATTAAGATTCGTAAGTAATTAATATATACTTTTACAAAAGCAATTTCGTTTTGTTTTACGAGTAGTTACCTGGCAAAAATCAAAAACAGCTAGATTTGACAAAGGTAACATGAGAGACGATATGACTCGTAATTCCGTAAGCTTACGAGGAAGCCAATACCAATGTGGCCTGTATACGCTAATATGTCAGTCTGTCAGCAATATGACATGTCGTCGATCATATTTGACGATGCTAACACACGAGCGTTAGTATTTGTATATGTACAGTGAAGCCGTTCAATAAAATATACATAAAATGTATACACGCTTTTCAAAACATATTGTGCGTCATTTTATTCTTGCAGTCTATGGACTAACTACACCAAAAAGACTTATAGTGCCCTACGTACTCAATAAAACAAGGCATTCAGGGCGCTGTTGCGACTGCCGCGCTACTGTAGCGCGTCTGCGATGTTTGCACTGGCGGGTGTGGATAGTGTTGATGCAATAATACGAAAAAAGACCGCATCTTTGCTAAACAGAGTGCGCGGCAGCGGCCACAGTGTACTGAGTGAGATTGCCAACATTGGGGACTGCCCACTGATCAAAAAAATGATCTCCAGGACCATATCCTGCTTAATAATTAAATATAAAAAAAAAAATAAAAAAAAATAAAAATGTATAAATTATATTACTAACATAGATGTAAGTTTTTCTCTACTAACAATTCCTATGGATTTCGAGTTGTCCGAAATAAACAATTTTTATTTATTTACTTTATAGTGAAAGCCCACAAAATGAGCAACGTCCTACTGAGCACTCGTCACCTGAATTTTGAAGGAGAAAAAGCTGTGCAGTTTTTCTAACTTTATCATGTTTCGCTGTTAAACCCATGGTAAATTTAACCCTTCAATCCTAATAAAATCCCCATGCAGTCGCATGCGTCCGACAAATCCCAATGGGTCGCATGCTACCACACCCACCCACAGCACTTTAAACCATTAAAACTTATATTTAAAGACTACTTTTCGATAAAGAAGTTTGGCATTATAGAATTAATACAAAGTTCTCTATCCTGTGGTCTAAACAATAGTCAGTTACTCTTTGAATTTTATTTTTATTCTACTGTCAATTTATGACATATTAAACCATAAAACACAGCACTTTAAACCATAAAACTTATATTTATGGACTACTTTTCTATAAAGAAGTTTGGCATTATAGAATCTATACAAAATCCTCTATCCTGTGATCTAAACGTATGGTTTCATATGGTCGGCAAATGTCGTAAATTGACAGTAGATTAAAAATAAATAGAGTAAGTGACTTTTGTTTAAACTACAGGATAGAAAATTTTGTATAGATTCTATAATGTCAAACTTCTTCATATAAAAGTAGTCTCTAAATATAAGTATTTATAGGTTAAAGTGCTGTGGGTGGGTGGCGGTCGGATTCGAACGTGTGCCCATTGAAAGGTTAAATTATAAGTTTCACATTAGTGGTTGTTACCCTGCTAAAAACACATGTTATATTTTTATTATATATTATATTATTATGTGTTTGCGTTAATGAAAGGATTATTTTTAAAAGACAAATGAGAAATAAATATTTTCAATATTTCTCATAATTAATGTAAAGAACAATGCCCATTTTTCAGCTGACAATGTATAGAAATGAAATAAATCTTAAAATTCAGGTTATTGAATTGTAAATTAATTGCGCTTATCACAATGTTAAAAGAAACGCAGGAAAAAATATTTTTACATATTTCTTTAAGCTTATTCTACGTCAAGGGTTAACGTATTATATATTTTGAACCCATCTCAACTACCCTTTTTCTAGGACGTTCCATTTTATACACCGCTACTTTACGTTATTTAACTCTGTTTCTGAGTTTTATACATTATTTTATGTTTCATTTAATCAGTAAGTGTTTATTTATTTGTATTTGTATTTAGTATTGTAGCCTTGATGGCAAACCCGCGCTGCATGCTCTCGAATGCCCTCCTGATGCACCTTTTCTGAGCGACGTGGCCCCAAATTCCCGCAGCGTAGGTGATCGTTGGCACGATGACCTGCTGGTAGATGGTGTTGATGTTTTCAAGATGGGCTCCCCAAGTGGGTCTCGAGTACATGCAGAGCGTGTTGAAGATCGGCACGGCCCTGTTAACTACGTGTTTCAGATGTTTACCGAAATTCAATTTCTCATCGAGGATTACTCCTAAATGTTTCACCTCTGGAACAAAACAAAGTCGGTGTCCGTCGATGTTAATGCTGGCTGTCTTAGCCTTAGGAGTGAAGGCAATGAGCTTAGTCTTGGTAGGGCCGAATTCCAACTTGACGCTTCTTCCCCACTCGACTATGTGATGGAGAGCCAAGTTGGCAGCGTTTTCCAGTTTGCCCGCACTCGCGGCCGTAACAACGTCCGCAAAGGCCTGTATGTGGCAACCCGCTGGAAGCTTGGTGTCGAGTAATTCGTCTAATATTATGTTCCAGAGAACAGGGCCGCACGTAGAGCCTTGAATGCAGCCCTTAGACATCGTCTTGGGGACCCGCCTCCCTGCATAGTCGAGAATGACCTCCCGATCGCGGACATAATCCTGAATGAGTCCAAAGATGTTATTAGGACATTGGATATGCCGCAATCGGTGGAAAAGTGCCGGCCACCAAGCGTTGTCAAAGGCTGCTTTTATATCTAAAAATATAGCGATAATTAGTTGCTTATTACTTTTCGCTTGTCTTATTATATCGAGCGCAGTGTTTATAGCTTCGCACGTGTTGGTCTGTTCCCGGAAACCAAACTGAAATTTGTTTAACAGATTATTTCGTTGTGCATGGTATGTGACTCTTCTAATGAACAGTTTTTCCAGCAGCTTGCCGAACACAGGTATCAGGCCAATAGGACGAAATGACTCTAATGCGCTGTAGTCAGATTTACCCGGGTTCGGGATAATTTTGACAAAAGCGGTTTTCCACTGGTTAGGGAAGTGTTGGAGTGCAAGACAGCGGTTAATTATGTCAGTCAAGAGTCTAGGATAGTCTGTCGCAAACTGTAAACATATGTCTGATGTTAAGGTGAGTGATGTACTTGCCATTGATGTTAATACCGTATCCTTTCCAATCCAGTAGCTTGTAAACGTCTTTCTATGCAGCGGTGAAGAGTTTCGGGGATATAACGTTACACCTCTCTGTAGTTGGATAGGTTTTGAACTCTTTATAGTGAGTTTTGGAGGAATGCATGGCTCTAGAAATATCCTCATACATTTCCACCACCTCCTCAAAGGGATAACCATCCGACGTTGGTGCGTAAACCTGTATGACCTTCAGCGAATAACGTTTTATGATTCTGAGTATATAGTACGCAACCCTCGCCGATACATTCCCAATCTTTACAACGTCGTTAGCGAGAGACTTGTCAACGATAAATCCTCCTTGGGACAGATGGTCACACTCTAGGTGATAAACCGAGTTGCTGGATTCGAGAATCACCGCATCCTCCCCCTCTCTTCGGACCTCGGATAATCCTATAATATTCCAGCCCAACTTTTCTATCTCTTCTTCCAGCTCCAGTATATTCTCGCCAGTCCTCAGGGTGCGTGCGTTATATGTTGCCAGGTCGAGTCGTCTCAGGTAGCAACCGAACCTCCACCGGTGGTTCTTAGCACCCTCTGCCGCGCCGTTACCATGGTCGCTATCGTAGCTGGGAATAGCGGGGCTGCCGGGGACTGGGGGCTATGTCTTCGTTATTCTCATCATTAAGAGTTTATTACGACAGTTGCCACGCTTGGCGAGCGGGTTGGCAACCGCAGTTTTTTGTTGTACAGTTGCTGTTATCAGGAAGAATCTGCTGCCCATCTCTCTGTTTCCCTCCGTCGCCTTTTACGACACCCAGGGGAATATATGGGGTATTGGATATTCTTAAATGCCACTACGCGGAAATTATATATTAATTATTATATGTGTATAGTTTCATTTAAGGAATGAAATTTGCAAATGAGATGAAAGTAAAGTTAATTTATTATAATGAATTCTTATATTTAAACGAACAATGCACATTGAGTAAAATATTGATTTGGATTTTATGATATTTTGGATTTAATTCACTTATTACTTATTTTTTTGATACCCGCCATAACGGGTGCTTTACAGCAACCATGGTCACGGGGGGGCGGACTGAGATGTTTGACGTCCCAATGTCGTGACTGGTCCGGCTACCTTCAGTTTTTGAATATTAATTTTTGGTCCGATCTACGCAGAACGAGTACAAATGTCTTGAAGTCTTGCAGTGGTATGCTTTAATTAACGAAATTAAATCTAAGCCCAAGTACCTGAAATGTCGGGAATTAAAAATAAATTAGTTAAATGCGGTAAAATCCGTGTAGATTGTTGTAGTTGTAGTTGTATTCAATAAATTTAAAAATGTTATATTTTATTTTCTATATTTTTATAGCTAGAAAATTTTTGTCTATGGCCATTATATAATAATAATAAAGAAATATAGTATATAATAATAAAGAAGCCTTAAATTTAAAAGTATGTGAGCACTGATGCACGATGCAGAGGTGAGTACATTAAAGGCACTAAAAGCACGAATTATGTTTATATTCTTTCAAATACTTGTACGTGCAGCAAATGAACAACTATGCAACGCCAACCAATTACTTAAATTAATCTCATAAATTTAGAGGCCCGTCCTCGGAATGTAATATTAAAAGCGATTCTTTCTTCGAATTTACTTTTTTACCCAAGTAAAAATAGTAAATCTAAAATTAAAATAGTAATCTAAAAATAGGAAAATCTCAATTCGACTTTAACCTTTTTTTTTTTTTGAAAGTAACATGTTACAGCAGATCATTGTCAATTCTGAACCGAGTTAAATGATTTTCTTTCAATATGTTATACCGCAAAGAGAGTTCCATAAAAAATTAATGAAATAATTTCAAGCCCAAATGTGTGAAATAGGGGATGAAGTTTGTATGTAAGTATTTAGACAACATTCACTGCTGGCGGTATAAGGAAGTTTAAGGTCGCTCAGCGAGCAGTGAAGAGGGCTATACTCGGGATTTATCTGTGGATAAACTAAGAAATGAGGATATCCGCAGTAGAACCAGAGTGACCGACATAGTCCAACGGATTAGTAAGCTGAAGTGGCAATAGGCCGACCATATAGCTCGAAGAACCGACAACAGTTGGGAAAAAAAGGTTCTCGAGTGGCAGCCTCGTACCAGTAGACGAAGTGTAGGCGACCCCCCCACTAGATGGGGTGACGACTTGGTAAGACATGCAGGAAGTCGATGGATGCAGGTGGCTCAGGACTTTGCTTTGTGGCATTCCTTGGTGAAGGCCTATGTTCAGCGGACAGGCACAACATTCTAGTTGATGCCTTGAACTTATGATATTCCTTATTCCACTCAAAGGGGTCAACAATATTATTTATAACATTCATTAACATAATCATTGATAAAAATTAAAAGCCATACTTTAAATAATATCAAAAGAATAAAATAATTTACCAGTAACCGCATAATTAATCCAAAGCACCAAAAACCCTTTTTGATAACGCATTTTTATTTTTATTCTTTATCAATTTATAAAGATTTCAATGGGCAACAGCATCCCTTTAATATCAGTAGGTTTGTGTGCATGTGTCATTTGTCAGTTTTATTCTATAAAAACAGCCATAACTTCTCATTAAGATTCGTAAGTAATTAATATATACTTTTACAAAAGCAATTTCGTTTTGTTTTACATAGTTACCTGGCAAAAATCAAAAACAGCTAGATTTGACAAAGGTAACATGAGAGACGATATGACTCGTAATTCCGTAAGCTTACGAGTAAGCCAATAACAATGTGGCCTGCATACGCTAATATGTCAGTCTGTCAGCAACATGACATGTCGTCGATCATATTTGACGATGCTAACACACGAGCGTTAGTATTTGTATATGTACAGTGAAGCCGTTCAATAAAATATACATAAAATGTATACACGCTTTTCAAAACATATTGTGCGTCATTTTATTCTTGCAGTCTATGGACTAACTACACCAAAATGACTTATAGTGCCCTACGTACTCAATACAACAAGGCATTCAGGGCGCTGTTGCGGCTGCCGCGCTACTGTAGCGCATCTGCGATGTTTGCACTGGCGGGAGTGGATAGTGTTGATGCAATAATACGAAAAAAGACCGCATCTTTGCTAAACAGAGTGCGCGGCAGCGGCCACAGTGTACTGAGTGAGATTGCCAAGAGTGGGGACTGCCCACTGATCAAAAAAATGATCTCCAGGACCATGTCCTGCTTAATAATTAAATATAAAATAAAAAATAATAAAAAAAATGTATAAATTATATTACTAACATAGATGTAAGTTTTTCTCTACTAACAATTCCTATGGATTTCAAGTTGTCCGAAATAAACAATTTTTATTTATTTATTTTATAGTGAAAGCCCACAAAATGCGCAACGTCCTACTGAGCACTCGTCACCTGAATTTTGAAGGAGAAAAAGCTGTGCAGTTTTTCCTAACTTTATCATGTTTCGCTGTTAAACCCATGGTAAATTTAACCCTTCAATCCTAATAAAATCTCCACGAAGTCGCATGCGTCCGACAAATCCCAATGGGTCGCATGCTACCACACCCACCCACAGCACTTTAAACCATTAAAACTTATATTTAAAGACTACTTTTCTATAAAGAAGTTTGGCATTATAGAATTCTAATACAAAACCCAAAACAATGACAAAAAAATCTATCCTGTGATCTAAACGTATGGTTTCATATGGTCGGCAAATGTCGTAAATTGACAGTAGATTAAAAATAAATAGAGTAAGTGACTTTTGTTTAAACTACAGGATAGAAAATTTTGTATAGATTCTATAATGTCAAACTTCTTCACATAAAAGTAGTCTCTAAATATAAGTATTTATAGGTTAAAGTGCTGTGGGTGGGTGGCGGTCGGATTCGAACGTGTGCCCATTGAAAGGTTAAATTATAAGTTTGACATTAGTGGTTGTGACCCTGCTAAAAACCCATGTTATATTTTTATTATATATTATATTATTATGTGTTTGCGTTAATGAAAGGATTATTTTTAAAAGACAAATGAGAAATAAATATTTTCAATATTTCTCATAATTAATGTAAATTTCAACATAACTTCGTATTGTTTATGATCAGATCAGACTTACATGGATTTATAAAATGTTAGTGCTGCTTTTGTGACGAGGAACGCTCCTGGGTGGACACAACCATCTTAGCTACTTATGTTGCAGAGCAGTAGTGGGTCCATTGCTATTTTGAAGGGTATTTAACGGCTATGTGGCATTGTTTCTCAGTTCGCACACCTGTTGTTAGTCCTGAGTTCAAAAATAGCAATAGATGTACGGCCTTGGTTTATGGATTTCATTGATAAATGATTGTAAATAAGCTGAAGTAACCCCGCGCACTTACCGTCTCATAATTCTCAAAAACTCTAATTTTAATGAAAAAAATACCTCGTAAATAATACAGATGATTTACATAAAATATAACTCGT